TTAGCAAAATGGTTTTTGTGGTTTTTTTTAAGATTTATTTTTATTATTTTTTTATTGGAAAGGCAGATATACAGAGAGGAGAGACAGAGAGGAAGATCTTCCATCCGATGATTCACTCCCCAAGTGAGCGCAACGGCCGATGCTATGCCGATCCGAAGCCAGGAGCCTCTTCTGGGTCTCCCATGCAGGTGCAGGGTCCCAAAGCTTTTGGGCCGTCCTCGACTGCTTTCCCAGGCCACAGGCAGGGAGCTGGAAGGAAGTGGAGCTGCCGGGATAGAACTGGCGCCCATATGGGATCCCGGGCGTGCAAGGCGAGGACCTTAACCACTTGCGCCACCGCGCCGGGCCTGGCAAAATGGTTTTATTATGTAAGAATTTGGACCTGAGGAAGCTTAATAGCATTCCAGAGGATTGGGGGATTACTTTAACAAGTGAGGATAGTATCTATTGCTTAGATATTGCATAGTTATGAATCAGTATTTGAATTTATCTTCTTGAGACATTCTGGCTTATAAGTCTCCTTGTTATTTTTGGTATCACAGTCATTCTGCCACTGTAGGACAAGTTGAAAATGGTCCCTCATGCTTTCTTTACAGAAATATTTGTGTAAGAGCTGCACTTTTTCTCCCAAACGTTTGGAAGACTTCACCAGGAAACCTAACAGCCTGGACTTTACTTGGATTGAGGTTTTAAGTTACTTTAATTTTTCCAGGTATAAGAATATTCATATTTGTTTCCTCTAATATAACTTTTTACACGTTTTTTTTAATCTGTTCCATCAACATTGTCAAATTACTGATATAAAATTTTCATATTACCTGTTAAATATCTGTTATATAGTGGTCCCTTTTTCATATCTAAGATTCTTGATTTCTATGGTTTTTCTTTCATCTTTGTTCATTCTTAGATTGCTAATTTTTTCTTGTCTTCTGTATTTCTAATTAATTTAAAATTTTTTTACTTATCTCTTTTATTTATGCAGAAGATTGAGGTGGAGACAGACACAGAGAGGAATCTCTCTGCTGATTTACCCCCCAAAAGCTCACTGCAGCTTGGCAGGGCTGGGTGGAGCCCAAGAGCTAGAAATACAGTCAGGGTCTCCCACAAGGATGGCAGGGACCAAACCATTTTAGCCATCCCCCAATACCTCTTAAGGTATGTACTAGCAGGAAACTAATAGGCAAAGAAGCTGAGACTCACCCCAGACACTCCAGTATAGGAAACAGGTGTCCCAAACACCATGTTAACAACTATGCTAAACACCCATGTCTAGTTTTTAATTTTTCCTGGAAAAAACCAAAAGATTCATGGGCTGGCATAGTAGCCTAGCAACTAAAGTCCTTACCTTGCATGCACCAGGATCCCATGTGGACACCAGTTTGTGTCCTAGTGGTCCCACTTCCCATCAAGCTCCCTGCCTGGGAACGCAGCTGAGGACGGCCCAAAGCCTTGGGAGACCCTGAAGAAGCTCCTGGCTTCAGGTCGTCTCAGCTCTGCCTACATGGCCACTTGGGAAGTGAATTATCAGACAGAAGATCTTCCTCTTTGTCTTTCCTCCCCTCTGTATATCTGATTTTCCAATGATAATAAGTAAATCTTTTTTTAAAACATCATTTATTTGTTTTAAAGGCAGGGTTACAGAGAAAGAGAAGTACCTTCCAGCCACTGGTTCACTCCCCAGATGATTTTAATGACTGGGCTGGGCCGGGCCAGGCTAAAGCCAGGAGTCTGAACCTCCATCTGAATTTCCCATATGGGTGACGGGGGTGCAAGGACTTGGGTCTTCTTTTGCTTCTTTCCCAGGTACATTAACAGATGGGTGTGGAAAAGCTGGGACTGGAACCTGCACTTAAATGGGATGACCCCATGATGCCTGGTTAACTCTCTCAGCCACAATACTGGTACTAATTTGTTGATTTTTAGCTTTGTCTTTGTTTTCTCTTTCGTTTTCTTTGTTTTGTATTTTTATTCTTTTTTGTTTTTAAAATATTAATTTATTTTTATTTGAAAGGCAGATTTACAGAGAAGAGAGACAGAGAGAAAGAGAAATCTGTCGTCTGCTCTACTCCCCAGATGGCCACATTAAGCCAGGAACTCTGCCCAGTCTCCAGTGGGGTGCAGCGGCCCAAGGACTTGAGTCATGTTCTTATGCTTTTCCAGGTTATAAGCAGGAAGCTGGGTCAAATGTGGAGTAGCCAGGCCATAATCAGTGCCATTATGGGATGCTAGAGCTGCAGTGAGAAGAGTGGCTTGCTATGACATTGTGCATGGACACAAACCAGTGCCCACATGGGGAGGACTTAGCCAGTTGAGCCATCATGCCATGCTCAAGTTAAGCCTTCTGAAGCCAGTATGTGTCTATCAGTCTCCCTTTGTACTGAGTATCCCATTATATTAGGATATAAGTTGCAGAAATAATTGAACTTAGAAAATCAGAACAAAATTTTTCATTATTTTGTAAACTATTTCTACCTAAAAACAAAAGTAAGTATTTACATAAAATTTATAGGAAATGTAACATTAGCTAATTAAGATCAGTACTTTGAAGTCAAATAGAGTTGTTTTTTTCTTATTTGTATTGGAAAGGCAGATTTACAGAGAAAAGGAGAGACAGGAAGATCTTCCATCTGCTGGTTCACTACCCAAGTGGCCACAGTGGCTGAAGGTGAGCCAGTCTGAAGCCAGGGGCCAAGAGCTTATTCCAGGTCTCCCACATGGCTGCAGGGTCCCAAGGCTATATAGGCTGTCCTTTACTGCTTTCCTAGGCAGGAAGCTGGATGGGAAGTGGGGCAGCCAGGATACAAACCGGTGCCCATGTGGGACCCCAGTGCATACAAGGCAAGGACTTTAACTACTGGCTACGGCGTTCGGCCCAATTATAGTTATTTACCAAAGCAATAAGTGGAAACTATATTTAAGACAATAAACCAGTCACAGGTAGCAACAACTACTATCATCTACCCAGGAAGAAATGAAATTAACCTTTCCCCAAATTTTAAAAACCTTACTGAAGGTGATTAAAAACATGAATAAATGGACAGGTGGTCCATGCTTATAGATGAAAAACTTTACTATCATAATTGGATTAGTTTCTTCTAAATTTAATCTGTAAGTCTAATACAACTTTAATAGGAATTCAGTTAACACATTACTTTTAACATTTATATAGAAAGGGTTAAAATATCCAGGACTGGAGCTAGCATTGTAAAATAGAGGCATGTAGATGTCATACAAGCATCCCGTGAAGGTGTCAGTTCTGGTTCTGGTTGCTCCACTTCGAACCTAGTTTCCTGGTAGGGTATCCAGGAAAGCAGCAAAAGATGACCCATGTCCTTGGGCTTCTGCACCCACGTAGGAGATCTGAAGAGAATTCCGAGCTCCAGGCTTCAAACCAGTCCAGATCAGGTCATTTCAACCATTTGGTTAACTAGTGGATGGAGGGTCTCTCTGTATATATCTTTCTGTCTCTCTCTCTTTCTTTCAAACAAATAAATAAAATATTAAAAAAAAAGCCAAGAGTGATAATAAAAGAGGGACTTTGTGTGCTGTATACAGTGACTTTTTATAAAACTATTTGGATTAGATAATATAATATTGGTTCTGACATAGATAAACTGGCAAATGGACTAGAATTCAGAGTTTAGAAGCTAGTTGGTGTATTTGTGTGTGTGTGTGCATAAAACTCTCAGGATGAAGATGTCGTGACATAATACTTGAGAAGAGAAGGGGCTTTTGATAAAACTCTGAATAATTTGCTACTTATATGGAAAAAGTACATTCGATTTCTATCAGAAACTGCTGATTCATGGCTTCAGAAAGTGGCCTGTGGTCTCCAGGTGCCTTGTAGTAGTGTTTAGGAAGAATTAGGGTATGTTTACCTCTATTAATGAAGAGCTAATATTGTGTTAGTTGTATTAGTCTTGTGTGTGTGTCTGTGTGTGTAGTCTTTCAGTAGCATTATTTTGTAGAGATGGGCTACAATTAGCAATGAAGGCATTTGCAATTTTGCCTAGTGATACAGTTGCCTTGTTTTCTCTAGCTACAAAGCTTATCTAATGGGCAACATGAAGTTAATGGTAGGGTAAATGGGGTTCCAGCTTGGGGAAGCCACCCTCCTCCTGATTTGCAGGCAGTAGCCTTGCTATGTCTTCCAATGTGAGAGAGAACAAATTCTAGTTCCTCCATCATCTTATAAGGACACTAATCTTATTATGCACTCTACCCTCATGACCTAATATAACTGTAATTACACTCTACAGATTCTGTCTGGTTGGGGAGCAGGGACTTATGCATGAACTTGAGCAGGGGACATAAACATTCAGTCCAAAGCAGTTAAAGGGTGTATTTTCAGCTAGATCTTGTTTCTGATCTGAGGAGTTAATTAGTATATATATTGGCATTCTGCCACTTTGATACAAAACAAATTAACCCATTTATATGTTATCTAACTATTATTTGATTGCAATAGGGAGACTGGTTCACTGTATAAGTGGCTGCTGTTACCAGGGCTGCGCTGCACCAAAGCTGGGCTACAGGAGCTTCCTCCAGGTCTCCCACATGGGTACATGGGCACTTGGGCCATCCTCTGCTGTTTTCTCAAGTATATTAACAGGGAACTGGATGTGAAGTGGGCCAACAAGGACATGAACTGACACCCATATGGCATCAGCATTATGAGCAGTGGCTTTATCCACTAGCCCACAAAAACAGCCTGATTTTTTTCTAACTTAGCAACAGAGATCTCTGCACTTGAAGTTGTTGTTGTTGTTTTTGGGGGGTTTTGTTTTTTTTTTTTCTTAGAAAAGAAAATTGTCCGATTTAATGAAAAGAGCAACAGACCAATTATAAGCTCTTTTTTGGGATATGATGTGAATAACAATAATACATGTCCTTAAATAAACATCTCTAGTTTCACTGTGTGGCTGTATTAAGTGTTAGATGTTGGAAAGGTGTGTGAACATTTCTTGACATTTGTAAATGCCGCTTGCTTTTTTCAACAGGTGGATTTTCAGAAAAGGCAAGTGAATGGAGCTCAGAAGAGGAGGAGCCAGTGAGAAAGGCAGGACCAGTCCAAGTCCTCATTGTCAGAGATGACCACTCCTTTGAGTTGGATGAAGCCGCGCTGAATCGGATCCTCCTCTCTGAGGCCGTCAGGGACAAGGAGGTGGTCGCCGTGTCAGTTGCTGGAGCGTTCAGAAAAGGGAAATCCTTCCTGATGGACTTCATGCTGAGATACATGTACAACCAGGTAGGGAAGGGGAATCTGAAAAGAGGCTTTTGTTTCTGTCCTTCTGTCCCTTGTGTTTCCTATTAGTGTTCATATTAGCCTAAATTATTAGAATGTATTTACTGATATTTATACTCAAGTCCCTGTTACAGGTTCTATATATTAGAATAACTTAAATGTCTACGTCAATTAGAAATATTTGTTTCTGAGAGGAAACTAAATTGAAGAAGCAGGAGTCAAGTTAGAAGCCAGTTAATAAAAGAATCAAATCTGAGTTCTTTATAAGAGCCTAAAATTTATAGGTAGGAATATATAACTAATTAAGATTTTCTGTTATACCAGTTTAAACAGATTTAATTATTTCAAGTGGTCTCTTCCCAAGTTTCTCTGCCTTAGTTATGGTTTCTTTTTAAAGCTTTCCCTACCTTTCAGTTAAAAAGTAAATCTTGTTATTTATTTGAAAGGAAATGAGAGAGAAAGATTCTTTCATCTGCTTGCTTAGAGTTCAGATGCCCACAATAGCCAGGAATGGGCCAGGCCTAAGTCAGGAGAGTGGAACTCAGCTTGGGTCTCTAACTTGAGTGGCACTGACCCAGGCCCTTGTTCTAGTGCTTACTACTGCTCAGGTAAGTAAGATGATTGATCATGACACACAGTTGGAATCAGAGCTGATCCCTGAACTCTATGATATGGGCTATGGGTATCCCGAATTTTTCCCTAACCACTGCACCAAATGCCTGCCCTTTAAAAATATTTTATAATTGTGTTTTAGTTAATATTAGCTTTTAGACTTGAGAACTACCTAGTGAGGTCTTCCAAAAGCTAGTGACTTTTTCTAAAAAAGAAAAAAATTTAAGTGTAGCTACTATTATCCAGGACTGCCAATGACTTACTAAGTTTAAGTGATATTTTCTACTCAACTTGTCAAGCTCTGTACACTTAAGGATTTCTTCTCTTCCTCCTCCCTTTGGATTCTTGAATCCCACTAGTTTTATTCCTCCCTGCTATCCTGGCCCTGGGTTAGGCCCTCAGGCATAATTTTACATAGTTATTTTACATTAGTTATTCCCTTTTCCTAATACTTCCATTTATGCTTTATATAAGTCCTACTTATATCCTCCATAGCTTTTATCTCCTTTCCTTACTAACTAGCCATTCAATTCGTTTATAATAATTTTCCACTCATTACAGGGTGATAATCCACTTTGCTTCTTCTTAGCTCCCCACTACCTAGTATGAAAACCTAGCTCCCATAGGCACCTGACAAGGCCTTGCAGAATCTGGCCATTTGTCCATTTTTTCCCTGATTATTTCTTCTTCATACCAAAGAATTGTAAAAATTGTGACATAATATTTATTTCCTTTTCCAACCCTCCTCTCCCACACTTACCTATCCTTCCTCACTAAAATATCTTCCTCAAGTTTGTTCACCAGGAAAATACCTAAATATTCTTCAAATCTAAGATCAACCTTCATGTCTTCTATGAAAGTCTTACCTGACAGGTAGTTTAAAAGAAATGTTTGATTTTAAAATTACCCAAAGTGTGATGTCCATTGTATGTCAAATCATTCCTTTTTCCTAATACTTCCATTTTTCCTTTGTGTACAATTCCATTTGGGCATATACTACATCATAATGATTGGTTGGTGTGTCTGTCAGGTTGTGAGCTTCCTCCTGTCTTTTCATCTTTGTATCCCCCGAACCTAGGGTAAAGTGTGGCTGGTAGTTATTCCTCTGTACTCATGTTTTGAATAAATAAGGTTATTGTATCAGTGCAGTAACTGTACATATGTTGTTTCCTTTTGGCTAAAATCAGGGAAGAAATGAAATGGATGAAAGAAAAATTGTATACCCATGTATATACTTCCATATCCTAGACTTTATTAATTTATAGGAATCAGTTGACTGGGTTGGAGATTACAATGAACCACTGACTGGCTTTTCATGGAGAGGTGGATCTGAGCGAGAAACCACAGGAATCCAGATATGGAGTGAAATTTTCCTTATCAATAAACTTGATGGCAAAAAGGTATGAGTTAAACTTCTTAAGTAAAATTGACTTTTTATTTTCAACAGTCACCACTCTTTAGAAGCTTTGAGGGTGCTCTTTGGAAAAACTACCTTTTGCTGTTTGACATAAACTTTATTTTTTTAATATTTATTTATTTATTTTTATTACAAAGTCAGATACACAGAGAGGAGGAGAGACAGAGAGGAAGATCTTCTATCCGATAATTCACTTCCCAAGTGACCGCAACAGCCGGTGCTGCGCTGATCCGAAGCTGGGAACCCAGAACCTCCTCCGGGTCTCCCACGCGGGTGCAGGGTCCCAAGGCTTTGGACCGTCCTCAGCTGCTTTCCCAGGCCACAAGCAGGGAGCTGGATGGGAAGGGGGGCCACCGAGATAGAACCAGCGCCCATATGGGATTCTGGCGCATGTGAGGAGAGGACTTTAGCCACTAGGCCACACCGCCAGGCCCCTTGACATGAACTTTTAAAAGGGCAGGAATGGTAGCATCATTGGCTGAACATTGCTTATCTTTCTGGTGACTGGGGTAGAAAAAAGCCAGAGGACAACAGAGTAGCAGATCTGGAAGCTGATGTTTATACTTTGTTCCATTACTGTTGGAGTTCCATTATTACTCATTGCTAATTTCTTTTATGCTGGGTTGATGGTGAAAATAAATCATTATAGTAATCAGTGGTTTCTTAATGCTGTCTTTTGTGGCATTTGTTAGAAATTGCTTATTGTGTATTAACTGATAGAAGTTTGCTTTATGTCTTATGTGTTAGTGTTGTAGTAATCAAGCCAAGATGTTCTATAACATATCAGTCTCATACTCTACCTGCCCACAGGTTGCAGTGTTATTGATGGATACTCAGGGAACCTTTGACAGCCAGTCGACTTTGAGAGATTCCGCCACGGTATTTGCTCTTAGCACAATGATCAGTTCAATACAGGTATGATATACAATCAGTCCATTCTGATGGAGGCTTATGTAGTGAAAAACTACCAGTATATATGCTTTTATCTGCTTGAGAAAAGAAATGGTCAGCCATGAATGTTACTTGCCTTAATTATTGTACCTTGTGATTTCTAGAAGAATAAAATGTTTTTGTTGCTGTATTCTGATTAGTCATTAATTTTAGAATTGCTTTAATCAGAAAATGTCACATTATTTTATTTATACTGTTTATGTAATAAGTATCAAATCATATATGCATGTAGTTGGACAACCTACTCTGTTTAGCAAAACAATATTTATAAATGTAAAACTTCACTTTTCATGTAGTGGAAATGTTTCCAAATAGAAAAACATTTAGGTGTGCTTGTATCTTTTTAAAGCACTTTAATGTACATTTATAAAAGTGAAAGTCTATGTAGAAAATGGGTTTTTTGTTTGTTTTTTTAAAATTTTATTTTATTGTTAATAACATTGTATTATGTGATACAGTTTTATAGGCACTGGGATTTCCCCCGCTCCTCCCACAACCCTCCCCCCATGGTGGATTCCTCCACCTTGCTGCATAACCACAGTTCAAGTTCAGTTGAGATTCCTTCATTGCAAGCACATACCCAGCATAGAGTCCAGCATCTTATTGTCCAGATAACTTTAACGGCTTCTTGGGGAGACCTTCTCTGGTCTGAAGGCAGAGCTAACAGAGTAAAATCCTGGTCAGTTAAAAGCCCCAACAAAACATCAGCAACAATATATAGTGTTATGGAATTGATTGACATAGTATTGAGTAAACAATATGTTAAAAATAATGCAAGTTCAATTTTTCAAAACACATGTGTTGAGACAATATCAATGACAGGTTCAAAAAGAAAAAGAAAAAAAATACAGGTTAAATTAAGGCAAACATGTGGTACCTAACCTTTTGGGATTCGCTCATTTCCCTTAGCATTATAGTTTCCAATTGGGCCCATTTAGCCACAAAGAACTGCATTTCGTTTTTTTTTAAATAGCTGAGTAGTATTCCATGGAGTAGATGAACCAAAGCTTTCTTATCCAATCTTCTGCTGATGGGCATTTCGGTTGCTTCCATGTTTTTGCAATTTCTGATTGTGCTGCTATGAACATAGGGGTGCATGTCGGTTTGTCGTGAAACAAGTGTTTTGGATATATTCCTAGGAGTGCTATTGCTGGATCATATGGTATGCAGATTTTCAGTTGTTTAAGTGTTCTCCATACTGATTTCCATAGAGGCTGTACCAACCTGCAGCCCCATCAGCAGTGGAGTAGGGTTCCCTTTTCCCCACATCCTCGCCAGCAAGTGTTGTTGGTGTTCTTTTTTATGTGGGCCAATCTTACTGGCATTAGGTGGTACCTCATTGATGTCTTAATTTGGATTTCCCTTATTGCCAGGGAACTTGAGCATTTTTTCATGTTTGTTTGCCATTTGGGTTTGTTCCTTTGTGAAATGTCTGCCCATTTCCCATGCCCATTTCTTGAGTGGCTTGTTTGTTTTGGTGTTTTGGTTGTTTTGGAGTTCTTTGTATATTCTGGAGATTAGCCCTCTATCCCCTACATAGTGCGCAAAGATCTTCTCCCATTCTGTGGGCTGCTTTTTTACTTTGCTGATTGTTTCCCTTGCTGTACAGAAGCTTCTTAGTTTGATGAGGTCCCATTTATTTGTTCTGTTCTTAACTGCTATTGCTTTTGGTGTCCTTCTTAGAAAGTCAGGACCTACTCCTAGGTCTTGCAGGGTATTTCCAACATTTTCTTCCAAGAGTTTGAAGGTTTCTGGATGTAGGTTTAGGTCTTTTATCCATGTAGATTGGATCTTAGTGTATGGTGATAGATGCGGGTCTTTTTGTTTCTGCAGGCTATCAGCCAGTTGTCCCAACAACATTTACTGAAGAGGCCTTCCCATTTGCTTGGACTGTTGTTGGTCTTTTTGTCAAAGATTAATTGGCTGTATCTGTGTGGGTTCCCTTTTGGTGTTTCTATTCTGTTTCATTGATCTTCCTCTCTATCTTTGTGCCAGTATCAGGCTGTTTTGATAACCACTGCTCTATAGTATGTTCAGTGGTCCGGAACTGTGATTCCTCTTGCTAACTTCTTTTTGTTTAGGATGGTTCTAGCTATTTGTGTTTTTTTGTGCTTCCAGATGAACTTTTGAATCATTGTGTCCAGTTCCGTGAAGAATGTTTTGGAATTGCTTTGAAAATATATATTGCTTTTGGTAGTATAGACATTTTAATGATATTGATTTTACCTATCCAGGAGCATGGGATGTTATTCCATCTTTTGAGGTCTTGCTCAATTTCTTTTTTGAATAGTTTGTAGTTTTCTTTGAATAGGTCTCCTACGCTTTTGGTTAGATTTATTCCCAGATACTTCATACTTTTCTCTGTTATTTTGAATGGTATCTTGCTGGTTAGATCTTTTTCCATCTTGGGGCTATTTGCATACACTATGGCTGTTGATTTTTGTTCATTAATTTTGTACCCTGCCACTCTGCCAAACTCTCGTATAAGTTCTAGCAGTTTCTGTATTGAGTCTCCTGGTTTTTCTATGTACAGGATCATGTCATCTGCATATAGTGAAAGCTTGACTTCTTCGTTTCCCATTTGTATGCCTTTGATTTCTTTTTCTTGTCTTATGGCCTCTGCAAGTACCTCTAGGACTATGTTGAATAGCAGTGGAGATAGTGGGCATCCTTGTCTTGTTCCAGATCTCAGTGGGAAGGGTTCTAGCTTTTCTCCATTCAGTATGATACTGGCGTTGGGTTTTTCATAAATTGCTTTGATTATGTTGTGAATTTTTCCATCTATGCCTACCTTGGTTAGAGTTTTTAGCATGAAGAAGTGTTGGATTTTATCGAAAGCTTTTTCTGCATCTATTGATACTATTATGTGGTTCTTGTTTTTCAGTTTTTGGATGTGGTGTATCACATTTATGGATTTCCGAATGTTGAACCATCCCTGCATTCCAGGGATGAATCCTACTTGATCTGTCTGATGATTTTTTGAATTCTATTGGCTAGGATTTTGTTGAGAATTTTAGCATCAATGTCCATCAGAGAGATAGGTCTATAGTTTTCCTTCTCTGATGGTTCTCTATCTGGTTTTGGGATTAATGTTGGCTTCATAGAATGAGTTTGGAAGGGTTGCTTCCTTCTCTATTGTTTTGAAGAGTTTGTAGAGGATTGGGGTTAGTTCTGTTCGGAATGTTTTGTAGAATTCTGTAGTGAAACCGTCTGGGCCTGGGCTTTTCTTTGTTGGGAGGTCCTTGATGACTGCTTCAATCTCTGCCTTGGTTATGGGTTTATTTAATTCTTCTATTGCCTCTGGACTAAGTTTTGCCTCAAATTTATTGGAGTACAGTTCTTTGTAGTAATTTCTAATTATTTTCTTAATGGTTGCAGTGTCTGTTGTTATGTTGCCTTTTTCATCTTTAATGCTGTTGATTCTCGCTTTCTCTTGTTTGTTTTTTTTTTTTTTTTTTTTTTTGGTCAGTTGGGCCAGTGGAGTGTCTATTTTGTTTATTTTCTCAAAAAACCAACTTTTTGATTTGTTGATTTTGTGTATAGTTTTTTGATTTCTATTTGGTTTATCTCCTCCCTTGTTTTGATGATTTCTTGTTTCCTATTGTGTGTGCTTCTGCTGCTGTTTTTCCAATTCCTGGAGGTGTGTGCTTAATTCCTGTATTTGGCGCCTTTCTTGTGCCTTGACATGGGCTCCAATTGCGATGAGTTTACCCCTTAGCACTGCTTTGGCGATGTCCCACAAGTTTTGGAATGTTGTATTGGAGTTTTCATTGGTTTCCATAAATTTTTTGATCTCATCTTTAATTTCTTCTCTGATCCATTGTTCGTTTAATAGCATATTGTTCAACTTCCAAGAGTGTCTATATTTCCTGGGGTGTTTTGAGTTGTTGATTTCCAGTTTCATTCCATGGTGGTCTGAGAGGGTACATGGTATGATTCTAATCTTTTTGAAGTTATTTAGATTTGCTTTGTGTCCTATCATATGGTCGATCCTGGAGAAGGTGCCATGCACCGCTGAGAAAAATGTATAGTCTGTGGCCTTAGGATAAAAAGTTCTATAGATGTCTACTAAGTCCAGTTGTTCTATTGTTTGTGTGAGCTCTGTTGTTTCTTTGTTGAGTTTTTGTTTCGTAGACCTGTCCATTGGTGTTAAAGGTGTGTTGAGATCACCTACAAATATTGTGTGTATATCTATGTCTCCCCTTAAGTCTGTAAGTAATTGCTTCACAGCTAGGCACGTTGGAATTTGGCGCATAAACATTAATGATGGTGATTGCTTCTTGATGGATCATTCCTTTCACCAATATAAAATGGCCTTCCCTGTCCCTTTTGATGTTAGTTACATTGAAGTCTATATCGTCTGAAATTAGGACAGCTACCCCAGCCTTTTTTTCTCGTCCATTGGCATGAAATATCTTTTTCCATCCCTTCACTTTCAGTTTCTTTGCATCTTTTCTGGTTAGATGTGTTTCTTGTAGGCAACAGATAGTTGGGTCTTGTTTGATGATCCATTCCATCGAGCACCATTTGCATTCCTGATTCTCTTTCCACTCCTTCGGGAAGGCCCATGATCCGAATATTCGATTTTCTAAGGTGATCTTTCATTTCTTGTATCGTTTTATTAGCTTTGCTGAGGCTTGTCTCCAGCTGTTTAATGAGCTAAGTATCTTCATTTTGTATGTCTTTCGTTTCAGAGATCCTTTCCTCTGCTGTATTTATTCTGTTGGTCATACTTTCAACCTTGAATTCCAGGTCAACAATTTTGTTTTTGACTTGTTGTATTTCTGTGACTATGTGGTTCTTGAAGTCTTCCCACTTCTTCTCATTGTCTCTGACGAATTTTATCATTAATTTTTAAAATTCCTTGTCTGGTAAAGCTTCCATGTCTTCATCTCACATCTCCGAAATAGATATTGGCTTTTGGCCCTTTTTTGGTGGGGTGCTGGCTCTTTCATCTGGATCATTACTTTTTCTGATAGTTCTTCCCATTGTGCTGATGTATCTTTTGGAGAGGCCAAGGCACCCGTGTGTTGAGGGGTCTTCAAGTGCTTTCCTGCAGAGATTGGAGCCTGCAGGTGTGGAGTAGCAGGGCGTGGGAATATTCAAGGCACTTTTGGTGTGTCCTCAGTGCACAGGACTGCAGGGCACCACCTCTGAGGCCCCGTGGATTCAAGGCACACTCTCGGCGCCTCCTCTACAGGTACGGTACCCCAGGGCATGGAGGGATGAAGGTGCTCTCTGGGTGCACCCCCTGCACCGGGGTCCACAGGATGTGGAAGATTCTAGGTGCTTTCTCAGTGCCAGGGACTGCAGGGCCCAGAGGTTTCTTGCTCTTTGTTAGCTTCTCCTGTGTGGGTCCGCACAGCATGGCGCTGCAGGTGATTTTTCAGAGCCCACCTGGTGTGTCGCCCACGCACAGGATTGTGGGCAAGGGGTGATCCAGGCACTTTCTGGGCATGGCTCCTGCGCAGCGAGTCCACACAGCGAGGTGTGGGGGTGTTCAGAGCCCTCCTGGTGTGACCCCCTCGCACGGGACTGCGGGGAAGGAGTGAACCAGGCACCCTGTGAAAGTGACTCCTGCGCGGAGGTCCACACAGTGCGGCGCGGGAGTTTTCAGAGCCCTCCTGGTGTGTCGCCCAAGCACAGAACTGCGGGGTGAGGGGCGAGGAGTGGGCCAGGCACCCTGTGGGAGCGGCTCCTGCGCGGAGGGACCACACAGCCTGGTACGGAGGTGTTCAGAGCCCTCCTGGTGTGTTGCCCACCCACAGGATAGCAGGGTGTGGGGGGGTTCCAGACACTCTGGTAGCTTCTGCGCACTGAGATGCACGGGTCCACACAGCGCGGGAGTATTCGGGGCGCTTTCTTTGTGCCTCCTCAGCACACAGGACCACTGTGCGCCACCTCCAAGACACAGTTTCGGCAGTTTCAAGGCACTTGCCCTGTGTCCTCAGAAGCTGGAACCTCCGTGGGAAGGGGTGGGGAGAGGAGCACCAAAGAGGCTCAGGCTTTGTGCTTGCCCCTGGAGGGCGGGCTCCAGGAGCTGCTGACCCACTGCTGTCCCTCCCCAGCTCACCCAAACCTCAGGCTGTTGCAGTCTGCCTCTGCTGCTGTTGAAGACCTTTGCCAGTGATGAGCCCTCCAGGCTTCCTTGTCTCTGGGTCGGCTGCGTCTCCTGTGGGCTGCCCTTAAAGGTGACTCAGCAGGTCTGCAGCGGGACGCCGTCTTCCCTGCCTTTTGTTTTGTTCTCGTTGTTCTTCCGAGTTGTGTGGATCTTTTTGGCTCCACACTGTCCAGGGAACTTCACGCACCTCTCCCTGTGGCTCTTTGCTGTTCCTCTTTGCTGCTTCTGTAGCGTTCTATCCCTCTCTCACTGGGCTCTCCCTCACAGCCTTCCTCCTATGTTGGCCATCTTGGGGCCTCCCCCGAAAATGTTTTTATCTTCCTTTCCTGATTTCTTTCTCTTTTTTTAAAGCATTAAGAGGTTATTGTCATTGTTCTAAATTATCCCTGACATCCTTGGAGAAGCCACTGAACACATAGCATAAAGTCCTATGGCCATTTTTAGAGCAGGAAGAAAATGGCCTACAAATAGCAGATCAATAAAAAAAAATATTGTCACTTAAAATGGTTTGAAATGCAAAGTAATTGGAATGAGACAGTGAAGGCTGATATCATATGAAATTGAGAATGATGGCAACAAGCGCATTCCATGTGGTAAGACAACGAGGAGGGGGTAAACAGAAAGAGGAAGGTTAGGCTGAATGTAAAAAGTCTCAGTTATAACTTATGACTGATGCTCTTGAAAGCTTACTTCCTCAGCTTCTAAAATGGGACCTAATAAATAAATTCTTCATAATCAACAGGTAAATTAAAGCAACAAGCCAATTAAAATGAGATTGACTTTGCCTTTGGTTTTTAAAAATTGATTAATCATAATTTATATTTGATTTGAACACTTTAGGAACTAAGGGTTCTGTTAAGTCCTTAGTAGTGATGTTTTTATTATTATCTGGGAAATGATCTGTTATTTAAATAAGCACCCAATGTGTGCTGTGGGTATGTGAACATTAGGCATCTTTAACTTTTCTTTGAAGTTGCTGATATTTATTTCACCTAAAAAAAAGACAGTCATCTTAATACTGTGATCTGTGAAGCATTCATATATATGAATTACAATTATAAGGATGGTATTATGAACCTAACTTCCTTGTTATAAATCTTTATGTAGAAATAAATAATTGTGAATAAGCCTACCTATTTCCATGTGGACTGTTCAGAATTGCCTGAAAGAATGATTATTCTATGGATTATTATTTTTAAAGGTAATTTGATTATTCCAACAGAAAATGGGGCACTGTTATGTTTCTGGAACAATGTTATGATCATTGTACATTCTTTACTATCTCTAAAGTTTTTTGCACTCCTCCCTCAGTGTCTTATATCATTTAAAGAGGAATGTTAGAGTTCAGTTTGATAATTTGGAAAAAAGAGAATGCTTAGAATGGTGTCACTTACTTTCTAATTTTGATTACATCTTATTCAAGGTGTATAATCTATCTCAAAATGTCCAGGAGGATGATCTGCAACACCTCCAGGTAATAAGATCCATACTTTTTTTCCCAATGTATCTGGTAATTTCTTGAACATGCATAGCAGAACTTGAAGGAATGTTTTAGTAACACGACTAAACAGGGCTTTTCTTTATTACAGGTTTTTCGTTCTGGGCCTACATAGTTATGTTCTTTATGATTAAATTTTCAAATTCCTCTTTCAAGCTTCTTGCTGTCAGCTACATATGCGTGAAAATATATGAGAAATCAAAAAACACATGTTTGATTTTAGGATTATCCATCTTGTGAAGTTGATGTTTTAAGATCTGTTGCTTGACCATTTAGTGTGATATCCATTCTCTGAATTTTTTTATTCTTTAACTGCTTAAGAACCACGAGCAACTGCCCGATGACAACTTAGATTCTATTTTAGATCTGAAAGAGATCTCAGTGGCACCTAATGTTATCCTTCATAATTTATAGATAAGGGGAATGAAGCAGAAAGAAATAATTTGTCCAAATTATATGACTAATTAGTGGTGGAGTGGTAATAAAACTTGGGTCACTTAACTGGACTCAGCAGCCTGTTCACTCCCCAGGCAGCACTGGACTCTCACATTAATCAAAGATGGGTTAGTCTTTCTTTTGTTTTCTCTTATAATACAATTCCATAGGCTCTGGGATTTCCACTTCCACTTCCTTGAATTCCCTCCCCTACACTGATTTCCCCCATACAATAGTATAATTCTTCATAAACAGTCACAGATCTAGATGGGTTATATTCTAAAGATGGCTCAAATCTCAGTGACACTTCCTTCTCTCAGCAAAACTATTGTTTCTCTGATAGTTTTCCTTCTCTATTCTTTATAGAAAATTTTGCTTTAAAATATTCATTTTTACCATGGCAGTCAGAGCCATGAGTCAAACTGTGTAAATTTAACACATTGCAAAGTGTTAAATAAAGCAGGGCAAGGTGTGACATCAAGAAAATCACATGGAGATTACTTTGAGCATTATTTCCCAATACATCTCTAGCAATGTTTACATACATCACACTTACCATTTTTTCTGAGAGATAGGCAATAACTGATCCATTGTTAGATGTATTTGAGAACAAGACAGTTTAATCATGTATTAGAACCTCGCATTTTTCAGATATTATGACATGGCACTGTTCAACCCTTATTCAGGAGTCCAAAACAGGATTGATTTTGGATCTGATATTGAGCAACAGATCTTTCCTTAAAGTCATTTAGAAATGAGCTCACATTCCTGTAAATGACAGTGCCCTTCCCTTCCCCGGAAGCAATGGTGAAGTGATATTATGCTGGTAATTAATTCTAGGAATAGCATCTCATCTCTGGGCCTGCCACTTTCTTCAGCCATGGCATTCTGGGCCTTTCTTCTAATCATGGGCTCAGTAATTCTTGCTTTCTGGAGAACTAGACCACTTGCAGGAAAGCCTCTGCAGTGTTGGGAGAGCTGCTCTCCAGGGACCTGGGATTCAAAGCTGTGGGTCAGCATTCTTCCCAGCTCTCAGGAGCCTCAGTAGCTTGCTAATCTTGTGTATTGAGTGGCATTTCCTGTGGGGAAGGCCAGACAGCCTGTCTGGAGCCCACTCAGCTCTTCAGATCTCTGTTCTCCCAAATCCTACATTTTTGGCAACACAAAACCTCATTTTATGATGTCTTGTGATTTCACTTGGGAGCCATAAAAAAATGAAAGGTTACGATAGTTGATTCTTCATTTTTTGAGTTTATCACTTTTGTAATAATCCAGGCTCTTATGCCATTAGCTTTACTCAGGCAACAACTTCTGTAAGTGCACCTTGTGTAGTTTCTGGCTGTCTAGTCCAGTCTACCCAAGCTCTACTTTGAAAGTTTCCTTCTCCATGAAAAAGAAGTCCTGTATTCTAAATACAAAAGGTGTTTGTTTTTTAAAATATATATATATATATATTTATTTATTTATTTTTATTGGAAAGTCCTAAAGAGAGAGAGGAGGAGAGACAAAGATCTTCCATCTGATGATTCACTCCCCAAGCGGTCTGATGATTCACTCCCACAACCGCCGGAGCTGTGCCTATCTGAAGTCAGACGCCCAGAGCCTCTTCTGGGTTTCCCATATGGGTGCAGGGTCCCAACATTTTGGACTGTCCTTGACTGCTTTCCCAGGCCACAAGCAGGGAGCTGGATGGGAAGCAGGGCTACCGGGATTAGAACTGGTGCCCATATGGTATCCTGGCATGTGCAAGCAAGGACTTTAGCCAGTAGGCTACTGTGCCAGGCCCAAGGTGTTAGTTTTAAAGTGCAGTTTTTAAAAAATGTACTTTATGCTGCTAATTTTTAAGTCTCTAATTCCTGTGACTGTGCTTTACCTGTCTGATACTTATTTTCTGAAAATTATTATTATTGTAATCTAAGTAATTTAGTTACAGAAGAAACACAGATCCTAAAGTTCTCTGTGTGTGTTCATGTGTGTCCTCTTTCTTGTAGCTTTTCACCGAGTATGGACGACTGGCAATGGAGGAAACGTTCCTGAAACCGTTTCAGGTGAGTGAATTCCTACTAGATTTTCCTAAAAATTCAGCCAGGTGTGTGAGTCATTTAAGGTCATGTTTCTTTCTTGTTTTAATTTAAGAAGCATTTTTAAAATTCTGATTTAGTACTGTTTGTTACAAGGGAGATATAGAAATAGACAGATAGATAACTTACACTTTCTGGTTCCTGCAAAAATATCAGCTTTTCTTTCTCCAACTCAACTCAAGTGATAACACAGAAAGCAGAAGACAGCTGATGAGTTTGTCAAACATAAAAGGTAAAAACAAGCCAGTGAGACTCTGGGGACAGTGCAAGATAGCTGCAAGCCTTAATAGAACCCGACTTTGTGCCAGGGAGGATATTGGAGGACAGAGTTTTTAGAGCCTTTCTGTCATTTCTTAAGTATTAATCTGTTCCAGTGGCACTGAATAGCAAACCAGCATGTAGCTTGGCCCTTCCTTGGGGCTTCAGAATAGCTCAGGGAAACACCTGAGCTTGGATTGACCAGTGTCTGACCCTTTCAAACTCCCTTCTGCTCCTACTCATCCTAGTACACAACACTAAGAACAAAGCTATTATCACTAAGCGAAACTGCTGCTGCCAACAAGACCCAGAGGAGATTCAGAGCTCAGCACCAAGACTGTCCACCTGAGGCATGATTCCTTCAGCCTAAGTCGATCAAAGGAAGCCGCAGCTCAGCTCCAGAGTTTGGCTCCTCCCCATAGATGCATATCACTAGCCAAGATGAAGATGGGTCATGCCCTAAGGAAAGTGGGAACATTCCTGGAAGCTGAATGCTAACAAAAGGCGAACTAAAATCGATAGCGAGTGATGGCAAGCAATTTAAAATGAGTTGTATTAGTTACGTGTTGCTATGCATAATAGATCATTCCTAAACCACACACTGTTATTATTGCACCCCTCCCCTGTCTATTTTTAAACTGATTCCATCTGATCTCATTTTGGGATCTCAGGACAATTTACTTAAATGTTAATGTGGATGTGAAATGTAAGCCTAGCAGCTAAGGTGTCAGCGTACCTGAATTCAATACCTGATTCTGGGTTCTGATTCCAAGTTACTCTAAATGCAGGCACTGGGAGGCAGCAAAAATGAAAAATGGCCTCAAGTGACTGGGTTCCTTTTTTTTTTTTTTTTGAAAATTTATTTTTTTATTTTTTATTGGAAAGGCAGATATACAGAGAGGAGACAGAGAGGAAGATCTTCCATCCGATGATTCACTCCCCAAGTAAGGCCACGGCCGATGCTATGCTGGTCCAAAGCCAGGAGCCTCTTCCGGGTCTCCCACACGGGTGCAGGGTCCCAAAGCTTTGGGCTGTCCTCCACTGCTTTCCCAGGCCACAGGCAGGGAGCTGGAAAGGAAGTGGAGCTGCCGGGATTAGGACCGGTGCCCATATGGGATCCCGGGCGTGCAAGGCAAGGACCTTAACCACTACGCCACCGCACCGGGGCCTCCCCCACTTTTTTTTTAAATGGCATAGTTACAAAAATATCTTCCATACACTGGTTTTCTTCCAGATGGCTGCATTGGCCTGAGGTTTGTCCAGACCAATGCCAGGAGCCCAAATCTCCATCCAGATCTCTCATGTGGAGGGCAAGGGCCCAAGCATCCAGGCCATCTTCTGCTTTTCTAGGCATATTAGTGGGGAACAGCCAGGACTCAAACTGCCACTCATAAGAGGTACAGGCAATGGCTTAACTTACTGTGCCACAATACTGGCCCTTGTCTTCCATTTTAAAAGTGAGTCAGTGGGCCGTATAGCTTTGTTGGTTAAATCGCCTATATTGTAAAAGTGAGTCAGTGATCAGCATATATAAAGAACTCTTACCAATAATATTCCTGAATTGAAGTGGAACAATGTGTCTGCCCAAGGGCATTAGCAAGGAGCTGAACTGAAGGGAGCAATGTGTCTGGAACCCATATCCATAGAAGATGCCAACATTGCAGAGGGTGGCTCTAACTGCTCTGCCACAATGTCACCCCTCCTTTTATTTATTTATTTATTTATTAAGATTTGGAACTACACTGTTTAAATATACTCCTGTACATACAGGAGCCTGGTATTCAGTAGAGATGGCATCACAAACTATTGGAAATGGATGGATTAATAGCTGGTTTTATCGAAAGTAGTTCACCATTTAGAGAAAAGCTGGATTCCTCCAATAATGTATACAGAAGTAAGTTTCACAGGATCAGAGAACTAAATATGAACATGAATGCTGTGAAGCTGATTGAAATAAATGCTGGAGAATGCTTTTCTAAATGAGGGTGAAATAACATTTACTTATAAGCCTCCTCAAAAATTAACTACGTGGTATCAAATTGATGGGTATTACTACATCAGGATCAAATATTTCTATTCATTAAAGGACTTTATAATGGATATGAATATATTTGTAGAAGCTACTGACAATGTCAGAGGCCAGCAAAATGTTCTTGTATAGAATATACGCTTCTATAGGTAAGTGCAACATGGAACCCATTATTCCAAAAATAGGCAAAGGATATTGATGGACAAGTCACAGAAGAAAACTTGAATGGCTAACACACTTTAGAACAGGCTTCAAGTTTCCTTGATAATCAGATCAAATTAAACCAACAATAAAATACCACTTCCTATGCACTAGATTTGGCAAAAGCAGAACAGGAATATTACAGGTGACAGGTAAGAGGATTTGGGTTATTGGGAAGACCAAAATGTTAGTGAAAATGTGCATCAGAGCAAGCAAATTGTGTGAAGGCACTGAGTTGTAGCAGGAAGTTGGAATCAACTTGGATGTCACTCACTAGAAAGTTATATACATAAAATATAATGAACAGCATACTCTGGAACACTCACAGCATCCAAACACAAGCAATGAAAAGTAGAGACAGACAGCAACATATCAAATTAAGCAGAAGCCTTAGATCAATAATGAGACTTTTATGATTTTTTAAAATGCTCTAAAATAATGGAATAGGTGTGAGGGAGTTCACAGTCAAGAAAAAGGAGTGATAATCTGTGGAAAATCTGATAGATTAAAGCAATTGGGGAAGTGAGCATGCAGAAGGAAGCAGGATAGAATATAACCAGTTCTGGCTTGCAATCGTCTAAGTTTTTTTTACAATATATACTAGACTTGATTCTGTTTTCAAAAATAATTTCTTAGGCTAATAGTTGAAATGGTGCGCAATTATCAAGCTATTCTTGATTTTTCTCTTCCCTGAACCATTAGCTTATATAGATTGAGGAATTTATTCTAAGTATGTCCTGGAAAGAACTTTAGGTCTTATCAGCAGGTGTCACTGCTCTGTATACTTGGTCAGGTGCGCTAAATCCCGAGAGTCCAACCAGTGCTGACAAAATCGATGATGGGAAGATGATAGACAGATATTCAGGTAGATAGTTACAGGCTTTGGTAGAGAATACCAGTGAGCTGAAAACTACAGGAAAAGCTTCAAGAGATTACTACTTGTTAGTAAACTATTTGCACTTCAAGATGTCAGTGAAAAGAAAATGTAAAATTTTGGTCAGTGTGTCAACAGTGACTCCCAAAAATTTTTATTTGTGTAAATCTAACCATCTAAAAGGAAATGGCACGAGTGGCATCCAAAGCCAGTTAATCATTTTGAGATTAAAACTACCAAATTCAAAACAAAATGCTGCACATCAAAAAATTAAAAGATAAAATACAAATACATTTAAATCTGGGAATCACATTTAAGGTATCAGTACAATATTTCATATTTATGTTAGAAAAAGTATGATAATGCCAAAATACAATGTCTTTTAAAAGGAATTTTAATTGAGGGTTCTTTTTCAGCTGGTCACCACTTTTGTTCTCTTTGTCTAAGAAAATATTCATTTGCATAAAATTGTAGGGTAATTGTAAAATTGCCTGAGAAAGTTTTGAAGAATTTGAAATTTAAAAAAATTGCATACTAAAACTAATTTATAATGGAGAAATTTTTAACTCTGAAGTAAAATGGCATGTAGTAAACAAAATCTATAACAAACAGCAACTGTGAAGGCAAGTAGCCAATGAAATGAATAGCTGAAGTGATAGATTAATTTGACTCTCAACCTCTTATGAAGCATGAAAACAGAAAGTCTCTAAAGAGGAGATGAAAAGCTAAGTGAATTCAGCTTAAACACTGTATGGAAATGCAAATTTAAACAAGTGTGACTAAGTGAAGTAAAGTTTTAAAACACGCCATCTTGACCATTAACTCGGCTTTTTCTTTCTTCTTGCCTCTATGGCAGGAGGTTTGGGGTCTTTTCCTGGCCTTTGAGCCTTCTCCCGCCATTAGGGTGAGAGTCACTTCTCTCTTTTCTTCAAATAAATCTTGCTTTGAAACTAGAAAAAAAAAAAAAGGTGTGTGGGTGAATGTTTACAGCTGTTGGGGAGGAGAGTGAAGCTAGCCCCGATTGGTAGCACTTGCTAATTTCTGTGTTGTGAACACTTTTACCATGGTCAATTTTAAGCTATCAGCACAAAGCCAGCTAATTTGAAAAATTCCTTAAAATTTCCCTGTTCCTTGTGAGTCCTTACAATCCACTTCTAAATCATGTAGCACACCCAAGAAGTATGACGCTTGTTTTAAAAGTTCATAGAAAAATAAAAATTAAGATATAAGTTTATTTTGATGTAAAATTTGAAAGTTGCTTTTGGAACACTGTATATTTTCCAAGAACAAAATTGCATTTTTTCATGAACATTTAGGAATATCTCCATAATTCATATTAAGAGACAGAATCTCTGCCATACATTACTACTTCTCCTTTTTTTTTTTTTTTGCCTATTGTGAGTACTTAAATCTTTTTTTTTTCCCTATTATATTTGAGAGACAGACACAACTGACCATATACTGCTTCAGCCCTTGCCATGTCTGCACTAGATAAGGCAAGGCAGAGCTTGGACCCCAATCCAGGCTGAGTAGCAGCAACTCAATTGCTTGAGCCATCACCACTGACAGATATCAAATCCAGGTTCTCCAGTGTGGGCTGCAGGC